ATTGTTGTTCCGATGAAAGTCCTCGATCGGTAAAGGAGCTTTGCAAAAAGAGGTAGATGGCAATGTGGCGGCTGCCTTTATAGGCAACACTGAAATGGATTCCCGTGCACCTTTTTCGAACTTCCAGCTAAGCAGGGATGCTTTTAGCTGAAAGTGGTGCAAGGATGCATTAAACTTTGGAAAATTTAAGGGAGCGCAAGTCCCTTAAACAATGTATATGTGGGAACACCACTTGTACATGTATGAACGCCGCCCATGCTTAAGATTATTTTAATACCTGAATGCAACCATGTTAACTATTCGTTTTGACATTTTCTTTTGTCCTTATTTGTAAATGGTCCCAATAAGCTTACTTCAATAAAAATGTAATTTTGTTCGATCATTTTTTTCTTGGGACGTCATAGAGCATACACGTGCATTTTTAATGCGTTTAGACTTCCATATATATTACGGAAATACCTCGAATAATTACTCATTTAAATTGGTTTTTGTATATATATCTGGTTATCTAATCAAATGTTTCTTGCCAGCTACCAACAGGGTTGCTTTAGCACTAAAAGGAAATTTTACCCGAGTTGAGCGTTCTTTTGTCGCTCGTTTACAAAAAAATGCAGCTAATATATTGCAATACCTATTGGTTCCTATGAACTTGAAGATATCGCCTTTTTCTTAACTTCAACTCTAAAAGATATTGATGAAATAGCTATACTTTTAATTAAAGCTAACAAGGCTGTTCTATTAAACAGCTAACTGCTAAACTGGGCTGTTCTATTAAACAGCTAACTGCTAAACAGGGCTGTTCTATTAACAGCTAACTGCTAAACAAGGCAGTTCTATTAAACAGCTAAATGTTAAACTATGTAGATACTACAATCAAACACAATATGAAAAGTGACGAAATTAAAAGATTTCTAGAAAGGAATTTTAAATATATATTAGCCTATCGTAGAAGCATTATAGAAAATGGATGTATATAAAAATTCAAATATTCTGTGGTAATAAAAAAATGGTCTTTTTATTTTGATTATAAATATTATATTGCTATATAATAGATTTATATCCATATAAATATATGTATAATCACTATGAAGCTGATAATATTAAAATACCGTATTATAGGTTTATTAATAAAACGAAAATTAAGTGTAATAAAACTTAATTAAATAACTTTTATAATTTCACCATTTGGAGGTAAATATTGTATTAAACGATCATGAATTACTAGACTGTATGCTGATGTATTAGCTGGAACAGGTTTGTTAACTTCGGTATCGAACTCAATTCGAATACCAATAGGTCGTAATTTTACAGTTTCGTTCTCATAAGTGACATCGATTACAGTAAGCGGAGTAAAGGATTTATATTTATCTATATACAACAGTGGTTGAGGATCCCACATATAATAGCTTTGTTGAAATTTTAAAAAACATATCATATAAAATAGCATATT